AGAGATGGAGAGAGAGAGAAGGAGATGGAGAGAGAGAGAAAGAGAGAGAGGGAGGGAGGGCAAGAAGTTAAATAGTAAATAAAGAGAGCATGAAAGATAGATTCAAATGACAATTGACCCAACCTTCATGTAAACCAAGGATGTCAAACTCGATTTCATTGAGGGTCGCATCAGGATTGTGTTTGACCTTGGTGGGGACAGGGCAGGGGGGCATGGCCAGTATGACGTCACTCATGTCAGAGGGTGCCTGTGATGGCCTGAGTGCTCTACCAGTTAAAACGGGCTCCTGAGTTCCATTTTTGGCCTCGATGACCTCCTACAACCCTCTGCCAGCAAAAACGGAATGCGAGAGGCTGTGTGCAGCCTCGCGAGCTCTGTTTTTTGGGGCAGAAGCACCCTGGGCCAGTCCTTCACTGTTTCCAGGGCAGCCCTGTGGGCCAGATTTAAGAATTCCCCCAGGCTGGATCCGGCTCCTGGGCCTAGAGTTTGACACCCCTGATATAAACAAAAGAGGTCATTTGATGTCTATAGTTTTTCCAAAAGTATGAGTAGCCAGCAAATTACAGAGAGTCCTCAACTTACAGGCATTCTGTCAATGTCCCAACTGACAAACCCAAGTAACGCAAGCAGACTTGAGACCTGCCAATGTCTTAACACAAAACTTTATTGAGTGCATCATTTTGGTACTATTGAAGACAAAACCAGCTCTACCCCTAATTCCCACGCAAACCCACATAGGTACAATATAGAATTCTCCCTGCCCCCCTAGTAGTGTAAGTTACATTATCCAAGTGAATGTCATTGTATTGTTATGAGAAAGAGTGTCTGGTCTTGGCTAATACCTGCAGATGTGTCCTTGGTTCTCATGGCTCTCTTTCTTGAAATCTAGAGCCTGTGTTCCATCTCACCCAGTGGTGTTATTCTACCGGTTCAGCCTGGTTCTGCCAAGCCGGTAGCAGCGATGAGTAGCAGAGACCAAACCGGTTCTCTCTGCCACTCTGCTGTTGGGCCCACCCACCCACCCGGGCTCCCATAACCACCATTATCTTCTGAATTTGAAGGGCCGCTGCTTTGCGCAGCATAGATGAATGTCGTGCAACAGCTGCTGAAGCGACCGGGATTGTGCAGGCTCGCAGGAGGTGAGTTAGAACGCCTCTGCGCCTGCGCAAAGTGCACGATTGGTGCACGTGCGCACGCAAAGTGTTTGCACGCATACAAAGTGCACCCACCAAGCCACACCCACCGAACCGATGGTAAAAATATTTGAATCCCACCACTGATCTCCCCCTTCCCCTCCCCCTAATCCTTTGGCAAGTTGAGAAGCGATAATGGTTGTAACAGAATAAGCACGCTTTGAGCTTGACACATTCGTTCAGTGACCAAAGTTACAATGGCACTGAAAAAATGTGACTTATGATCATTTTTTACACTTACGACCATCACAGCAGCCCCACAGTCACATGATCAAAATTCAGATGCTTAGGCAACTGACATATATTTATGATGGTTGCACTGTCCCGGGGTCATGGGATCACCACCTCTAACCTTCCTAATTGGCTTCCGACAAACAAAATCAGTGGCCAGAGTCACTTAATGAAAGTATCATCCACTTAGCAACTACCGTGACTCACTTACCAACTGTGGCAAGAAAGCTCATAAAATGGGGCAATATTTAATAACGGTCTTGCTTAAAAACAGAAAGTTTGGCCTCAGTTGTGGTTGTAAGTTGAGGAGTAGCTGTAGCCTCTCAACCTCAAATCATGCAAACGTTGGCACACATACTGATAATGGACTCAACTACAACCTATCTCTGGTTTGATCTGATGTCTGCATATAATAAATAACCCTTAATATCTATTAAATGTTGTTACCAAATTAATACTAATATTATAACAAAGGGAAAGCCCTGTTTTTGCAGGACCTCTGTGTCAACTAAAAAACAAACAATACTTCTTTGACCTTTTTAGTTGCCAACAGAAAGGGAGTAGGGGAAAGTAGCGCATTCCTGAAATGCTTCAGGTAATTGCTAGGCAGCCGAAGCTGTTGGCACGCAAGATTATTACTGGAGAGCATCATTGATGGCTCTTGGCTATGGATGTGTCCCATTGGAGAATATACATCCAGGGGGTGGGGGCAAGACCAGGGTCAAGAGTGAAATGAATGATGTGTCTTAGAGTCGGCTGCAACCAGGTAATGCCGACATGGTCACTCCTAATAAATCTTTTTTTTTTTTTTACTCTGAGACATGCAGCTAGGGACTTATGAGTCCAAGGGGGGGGGGGGTATTGTCAGAGTCTTGACACTCTGCACATGACTGCTTGGTTCTGTCATGTTTCCATGGTGTTCTGGTTGCCTTCAGGCGTGATGAACTGGACTTTAGGCACAATGAAGGAAGAGTTATTCCTCCTGATGGAATTATTCCTCCGCATGGAGTTATTCCTCCGCATGGAGTTACGCTTCCTCAAGGAGTTCTGGTGGGACAGCTCACTTTTCTGGAGGGTCTGGATGAGAATGGAAGGCTTCTCATCCAGCTCCTTGGCACTGCAACGGGGTGCTGCAACTTTGCTGGTGTTGCCAAATTTGGAGTAGTCGACAGCATAAGTCCCTTCTTCTTCCGTGACGATGGGCACAAAGCGATGGCCCCAGAGGATCTCTTCTGATATGTAGGATGTTCTGGCTTGGGTGGTGATTCCAGTGGTTTCTACGACACCTTCAAGTATGACAATGATTTCTAGGTCTTGGTTGGCCAGGTCGTTGGCGGAGATGTCATAAAGTGGGCTCCGCTTATCAATGACGTGGCAAATGATCAACGGAGCCACCAGGAAAATGTTGTTGCTTTCAAGAGGATTGTCTACCGGAATGTCGAGCTGGTGGATTGGGATGACTTCTCCTTCTGGAGTGGTGGTCTTCCTGACAACCTGGATTCGTACCGAGGCGCTAATGATCATGCTTTTCCTCAGGTCCCCTACGCGGAACATGAAACACAGGTGGCCATTACGGACAGTGATGACTGCATTCCGGCTAAAGATCAAAGTTTCTGCTCTCCGGTGGGCCTGGGCGGTTTTCATAAAGATGCAACCCAACATGACCGCGTTGATGATCAAGCCCACAATGTTTTGGAGGATCAAAACACTGATGGCTATGGGACATTCCTCGGTCATCATCCTTCCACCAAAACCAATGGTCACCTGGACCTCAATGGAGAAGAGGAAAGCAGAGATGAAGGACCTGACAGAAAGGCAGAAAAAAGTGGAATACGGTCATCAAATACAGAAATAAATCAGTTATTTTCCATTGTGAAAGCATGCATATAAGTGTCAGCGTTCCAGAAAACCTCCATTCCACCCTATAACTCCGAGACAGACATTTCTCAATAGCTCCTTTTATTTGGATAGTAACCGGCTCAACTGTGGAATCCCAAATCTGAAAGCTCCAGGCTTCCCTACAGTAAGTAAAAACTACAAAATCCGTCCCCTGCACCCATCATCCATCACATGGCCCAATCACCATCCATCCCCAGGTAAGACTTCCTCTCAGTTATGCGCAACACAACCTGATTTTGAATCAGGAAAAGAATGTTATTATGTCTAACTAGATATACTCCAATATATTCCACTTTCCCAGACTCAGATGTGGCAGCGTGGGAGCGTCTGATCTCAATATGGCTTCCAAAGCTGACAATAAGGTTGGTCAGATCAACTGAAAACTCTGATTCTGCATTGTATACATGGGTTCACACAACACATCAGATCAAGCCAAGATTAGGCTAGTAATTTATGGGTCATGACCTTAACATTTTATGTGAATAAACTAGTATATAGGTAGTCCTCAACCTCCAACCATTAGTTGAAGTTACAATAGCACTGAAAAACAGTGACTTATGACTGTTTTTCATGCTTACGACCAATGGAGCATCCTCATGGTCACTTGATCAAAGTTTGGATGCTTGGCAACCGATTCATATTTTCGACAGTTGCAATGTCCCAGGATCGTGTGATCCCCTTTTGCAAACTTCTGACGAGCGAAGTCAACAGGGAAGCCAAATTCTCTTAACAACCGTGTTCCAAACTTAACATCTGCAGTGATTCACTTAACAACTGTGGAAAGAAAAGTCATAAAATGGGGCAGAAGTTCACTTAGGAACCTCCCTTGCTTAGGAAGAGAAATGTTGGCCTCAATTGTGGTCGTATGTCGAGGACTATCTGTATTTATGAAGTTCTGGATTTGTTCGCATGTCTGTGTCAGTGTTCTGAGTAATGCATCCACCAAAAGCAGAACTCCCAGACAGGTAGATTCCTCAAAGAACATGTTTGTTGGATACATCATATCGGTGAAAACCAACTCTAAAAATTCCCATTGTTTTCCCCTAATTAAAACAGCACATTTCTCCTCCTCCCAGGTGTCACTGGTCACATTATCCAATGAAAGTGGCTGGCAGGCTGCTTGGTCACTCCTCTCCTTCAAACTGACACCTGTTGAGATGACCTTGGTTCCCACAAGAAAACTTTTTGCTTTGACTGTTAGCCGGTCTGCCTACTTTCTCCCTCCCTTCCCCCTCTCAGGATTTCATGGCAACCATGAGGTAGCCCAAGATGGCTTCAGCCAGGTTCACTTCAGAGTTGACAGCCTGCAGTCATGGCCTCCAGTGTCTTCTTTTCAAGGTGTGTCCCCTTACCTGACGCAGGTGATGCACGGTTTCCATTTGCTGAGGTCTTCAGTGGTGCAAGGCTTGTCCATGTCTCCATGGGAGAAAGCCACCAGCCACCACATCATGGCGAAGAACAACCAGCTGCAGAGGAAGGACATGGTGAAGATCACCAGAGTGTGGCGCCATTTCAGGTCTACCAAGGTGGTGAAGATGTCTTGCAGGAAACGTCCCTGCTCACGGATGTTCTTGTGGGCTAGGTTGCAAGCCCCATTTTTGGCGATGAAGCGGGCTTTGCGTTGGCAGTCTCGAATGCGTGGCTTGCCCAAATTCTCAGCTGCAATGCGGGCAAGAACATATTCTTCTGGGATAATACTTTTCCTGGCCAACATCTTCCTGCCACCATTGCCCAACAACTGGCATACAAAAGACTCCTTTTACTTTTCTGAAATCCTGCAATGAGAAAAAAAAGATATATTTTCATCTTTTTCTTCCTTTTTTCTGCTGCAAGCTAAGATGACAAAGCTAAGAAGTAGATTCCAAAGATATCATAGTTAATTCCTGCTTGAGAATAATTATAACCTTTATGGCAGTATTTTTTTTCAACCTTAGCAAATTTAAGCTGTGTGGACTTCAACTCCCAGAATTCCCTCACCACCTAGGCTATGCTGGCTGGGGAATTCTGGGAGTTGAAGTCCAAACATCTTAAAGTTCCCAAGGTTGAGAAATGCTCATCTATACAAATATTTCCAGTTCTGGGCTGTGATTTTGCTGTATCCTTTTCTTAAATATAGACTACAGGACTTCCCTTACTTTTTTAATTGACTCATCTTTCTTTGCAGATGTTTTTATTCTGTGCTGTGAATTTCATTCCAGGGTGAGTTATCATTTAAAATGGATGTTAATGACATCATAAAAATATATATACTACTAAAACTCTTGTTCTTGAAACCTTTAACCAGGTGAAAAGGTGCATTATAAAGTCCACATTTTTGAACTGAGATAACTCAAAGTGGCCTAACTTACAGAATGCATTCAAAATTTCAATTCACAACTCACATGGAACTGAAATTTGGCAAATGTTATAAAACAGTTTATGACATAAACATGGTATTAAATAACGAGTCAGCAGTGTGCAGCAGCAACCAAAAAAGCAAATGCAATCCTAAATTGCGTTAACTGAGGGATTGAGTCAAGATCAAATGAGGTATTAATACCACTCTAAAAAGCGTTAGTAAGATCACACCTAAAATACTGCATCCTGTTTTGGTCACCACACTATCAAAATGGTGTTGAGACAGAGGTGGGTATTCAGCAGGTTCTGACCAGTTCTGGAAAACCGGTAGCGGAAATTTTGAGTAGTTCCGAGAACTGGCAAATACCACCTCTGACTGGAGATTTTACAGTATCCGTCCCCTGCCATGTCCACAAAGCCACGCCAACAGAACCTGTAGTAAAAATTTTTTGAATCCCACCACTGTACTGAGCCTCTAGAAAGAGTGCAGAGAAGAGCAACCAGGATGATGAGGGGACTGGAGACTAAAACATATGAAGAACGATTACAGGAACCGGGCTTGGCTAGTCTAGTGAAGAGAAGGACCAGGGGAGACAGGAGAGCAGTCTTCCAATATTTGAGGGGCTGCCACAGAGAGGAAGAAGGGGTCAAGCTATTTTCCAAAGCACCCAAAGGCCAGACAAGGAACAATGGATGGAAACTGATCAAGGAGAGATTCAACCTGGAAATAAGGAGAAACTTTCTGAGAATGAGAACAATCAACCAATGGAACAGAAGTTGCCTTCAGAAGTTGTGGGAGCTTCATCACTTGAGACTTTCAAGAAGAGACTGGACTGCCATCTGTCAGAAATGGTGTAGGGTCTGCTTGGGTGGCGGGTTGGGGGGTTGGACTAGATGACCTACAAGTTCCCTTCCAACTCTGTTATTCTGTATTGTGTAGGATCATAAAACTATGACCTGATACAAATTGTCATGAAACATTTCCTGAGCTGATGTTTGACTGTGCCCTACAGTTCAACATGGGATATTTTTATTCCTTCCTCCTCTTTTTTTTTTCAATATGTTTGGAGAAACTGCAGGGTCAGACAAGACTTTAGGGTGCTTTTGAAGGCTTTCCCACAATCCGTGGTGGGAGGAAGCAAGCGACGGCACAGAAGGCTGCTTGGAGAAGAAGAGCAAAAATGAAACAAAACTTGGCAACGTGGGAGAAAGTGTCAAGGGGAGAGAGGAAGAGAAGGCATAGAAAGAATCACCCTAGGCCAGGAGTCCTCAAACTTGGCAACTTTAAAACATGTGGACTTCACCTCCCAGAATTCCTCAGCCACTTATTCTGGGAGTTGAAGTCCACAAGTTTTAAAGTTGCCAAGTTTGGGGGCCTCTGCCCTAGGAAAAGGGGAGGGCCATCTACATGTAAAAAAAAGGGGGGGGGGCTTTGACCATGTGGTTGCGGCTGCCATTTTGAGTCTTTTGACTAGTCCTCCCATGAACCCAGTTGATATGGGAGGAGGCAGCAATGGAGAGGGAATATCTTATGGCAGAGAATAGAATAGAATAGAATAGAATAGAATAGAATAGAATAGAATAGAATAGGCTGGAAGGGACCTTGGAGGTCTTCTAGTCCAGCCCCCTGCTCAAGCAGGAGAACCTATATCTTAAGTTTTGTGATGCTATTGCATAGATCCCTCACCCAAAGTCCCCTGAGCTGAATTAAGCTTTCTTGAATAGCTCCAGAATCCATATCTGCTGCCCTCCCTTTTTCCTTCCTTCCTTCCTTCCTTCCTTCCTTCCTTCCCTCCCTCCTTCCTTCCTTCCTTCCTTCCCTCCCTCCTTCCTTCCTTCCTTCCTTCCTTCCACAGTTTAAACATACTTAAACAGGTTTAAACAGGTGTTGTCACATGACATATCACAACTTTTTATCCCCCTTCGCTAAAAAGGCGGTGGGCGTGGCCAGCACACGATGCGTGATCCAGCCCGTGCGCCGCAAGTTTGGCAGCCCTCATTGAAACAAACTGTTTCAGTTCCTCCCCTCCGGATGCTGCTATAGGGCATTGTATCCCAAAACAACTAGACCCAGGTATAGGCGTTTTCCTCCCGCTCATGCCATCATTCTACTGAACATCTAATCCTCACCGTAACTCTAAGTATATTCACCCATATTGTATGGCTAGTATTATTATTAACCTTCCCATTTTCCTTACTGCCCCTTCTTATTGGCATCTTATTATGATTACTATTACCCTGGTGCTTTGCATGTACATTAATACTTCTGCGCCGGAGACAAATTCCTTGTGAGTCTAATCACACTTGGCCAAAATAAAGTATTAATTGTGTTGTGTTGTGTTGTATTGTACTGTACTGTATTCCATTCCATTATGTTCCATTCATTTTCTATTCTGTTCAGTTCTGTTCCGTTCTGTTCACATTTGGAAACAAGAAGTCCTGCTTGATCTGGGCACTTGTTTGCAGCCTTTGAAAGGCACTATTTCCAAATCAAAAAAATTCCTCCATTGCTGATGTCTCACATGAAGGGGGTAATATTTATATATACAAAAACATTGAAATTTGAAATAAATCCAAGTATTCATAAAACATTTGACATCTATTGCCCTAAGGAACTTTTTAAAAAAGAAATCCCTCCACGTTGGCAATATTACAAACACTTCTCAGAATTAAACAGGATTTAATTGGAGATGGGGCTTAGCCTTAGAACCTGGGAAGGCTGAGAGAAAGTTTCCTTCAACGATAACTCCTGAAACGGAGCAAGAGCGTGTTTTCCCAGCATGTCCCAAGTGCATTGCTTTAATTCCTTAATTTATTACAGCAGCTCAAACCCAGATCTGAGATTTAGGAGAGATCCTTCCAGGCCAAAGATACACAGACACACAGACACAGACACACACAGACCCACAGAGAGGAGGGGAGGTGGGAGGAGGGAGAGAAAGAAAGAGAGAGAGAGAAAGAGAGAGAGAGAAAAGAAGAAGAAGAAGAAGAAGAAGAAGAAGAAGAAGAAGAAGAAGAATTTTGAGACCTGCTGGAGCAACTGCACAAGGATTGCAAAAACATGAAATTGAGACAGGGAATCTAAAGAACATAAAATCATAGCTTTGGAAGGGACCTTAGAGGTCTTCTAGCCCAACCCCCTCTGGCGAAGGGAAGAACTGTCTGGAAAAGCAAGTATGCAAACCCCAAAGGTGCTTTTTTCAAAAGGCAACTGGACTTTCTGGTTTTTCTTTGAAGGCGTTTCGCTTCTCATCTGAAGAAATTTCTTGGATGAGAAGCGAAATGTCTTCAAAAAGAAAAAAAAAAACAGAAAGCCCAGTTGCCTCTTGAAAAAAAAGCACCTTTGGGACAACCAGGATCTGGAGGACTGAGAATCTCCACAGAGACATGGCATGCAAAATTCTACTCACTTGCTGAAGCCGGGACCTTTTGTTTTTCTAGGAGCAAAATAACAGACTAACAGAGTTGGAAGGGACCCTTGGAGGTCATCAAATCCAGCCACCTGCACAGGCAGGAAATCCTATACCATTTCAAACAGATGGTTGTCCACTCTCAAAAACCTCCAGGGATGGAGTGCCCACAATTTCTGGAGTCAAGTTGTCCCACTGTTAATTATTCTCACTGTCCAGAAATTTCTCCTTAGTTCTAAGTTGCTTCTCTCCTTGATTAGTTTCCACCCGTTGCTTCTTGTCCTACCCTCAAGTGCCTTGAAGAATAGCTTGACTTCCTCTTCTTTGGGGCAGTCCCTGAGATACTGTAACACTGCTTTTATGTCTCCCCTAGTTCTTATTTTCATTAGACTAGACATACCCTGTTCCAGCAACCCTTCTTCGTATGTTTTAGCCTCCAGTCCTCTAATCCTCTTTGTTGCTCTTCTCTGCACTCTTTCTAGAGTCTCAACATCTTTTTTTACATCCTGGCAACCAAAAAACTGGATGGAGTATTCCAAGGGTGGCCTTACCAAGGCCTTATAAAGAGCTATTAACACTTCAGATGATCTTGATTCAGCCTAGAACTGTGTTGGCTTTTTTTTTTTTGTCAGCTGCTTTTTGGGCACCTGCAACCATTCATCGTACAGGTTAGAGCAGGGGTGTCCAACCTTGGCAACTTTAAGACTTGTGGATTTCAACTCCCAGAATTCCTCAGCCAGCTTTGCTGGCTGAGGAATTCTGGAAGTTGAAGTCCACAAGTCTTAAAGTTGCCAAGGTTGGACACCCCTGGGTTAGAGCCTCCACGCATTTTTTACTCTCTTCGTTGCTCTCCAAGTCCAAAGAAGGAAACGGGACACTTACCAAGAAGCGCGGCAAAAGCCTGCAGTCAGCTGGGCCAAATCTTGCGCGCTGCCATGGGCGCAGGGGAGATCCTCGGATGCGCAACAAGGCGAGGAAGGAGACAAGGATCGCAAGGCGAGAGGGAAGACGACAGTCGCTGGAAACCTCTCTGGCTCCCAACCGGACCGGTGATTTCCGAGCGAGGAAGAGTCGCCCTTTATCCAGAAGGGTGGAGAGGAGACGCGCCAGGTCGCAGAAGTAGCGGGGGTGGCAGGCTAAGCGGCTCCTGTCCCGCTTTGGGACGCCTGGCCGGGCGCAGAACGAAGCAGCGGTCGCCAAAGGGTCCTACGCTTGCTGCCTCGGCCGAGCGAGATCGCGCCCCTTCTTGCGAAGGGAACTTTTCTGCATTTTCTTGAGCTTGGGGATGGGACGGAGGAGAAGGAGGAGGGAAGGCGAAGGGAGAGACTGGCCGGGGTCCAAAATTCAACTGACGCAACGAAAAGGCGAGGAATTGGGGAGGGAGATGAGCTCCAGGAGGAGAAAGAGAGCCAGAAAGCACAGGGTGAGATTTCAACCCTAGGAAACTCCGGGGGATCGGCGCTTGGGTTTTTAAAAAGCCAGTTGGTAGAATTAGCGGCTGGTCTCTCTAAGAAATGAGGAAGCTGGGTTTTTTTTTCACTCCCTTTGCTTGGGGAGTGCCTGTTCCAGCAAACCAGAGGTGATTCCAGCTGTGTTCTACACAGAGAGTACTAGTTTATCTTGGTGACCTTGGCTGGGTCCGAAGGCTTAATCAGTATGTATGTATGTATGTATGTATGTATACTAAGGTTTAAGCAATATATACCAAGCTTTAAAATTATCTGATTTTAGTCTGTAGAGGTGAAATGGAGATCTTTAACAGAAGGTGGTGGGGAGGGAAGGAGAGAGAGAGATTAACAGAGTTGGAAGGGACTTTGTAGGTCATCAAGTTCAGGGGTCACCAATCTTTTGGACCTCAGGGACCACCAAACTCATAATTTTAAATCCCATGGACCAGAGACCCTGGGAAAAATCCCCCTAAAAGTCTGCAGGAAAATCCCCCACCCCGTTTTCCTACCAATCCGTCATTCTTTATTTGGGATTGCAGGATACCATCTCCAGCTCCGTTCTCAGGGGGAGGGAGGGAGGGAGGGAGGGAGAGAGAGAGACTGACTTTTGGCTTCATGCAAGGAAAGCAGCAGAAGCAGCAAAAGTCTTTCTTTCTCTCCCCCAAACTCTGCCATAAATGAGTCTTTGTGAGATTTGTTGTGGCAGCACAGCCTCTTGGAGCAGGAGGCCTTGCAGGGTCCCAAAGACTCATTTCTGGTGGAGTTTGGGGGAGAGAAAGAAAGACTTCTGCTGCTTTCCTTGTGTGCAGCAAAAAGCAGAAGCAGAAAGAAGCAGCCCGGTGGCCAGGCCAGGCGTGTGGGGCAGTTTCCCCGCTCCGCCCTTTCCCCCCTCCCCTCACTACCTCGTGTTGTTCACAATGCAAGTGACACAAGCCTTGTGTTCCCACGGGCCATTGAGCAGCATAGCCTTGTGTTGCTGCACAGCCTGGATTAATTACTTTGGGGGTGACATTTCTCTGCGGACCACTAAAATTTTCTCATGGACCACCAGTGGTCCCTGGCCCACTGGTTGGTGTACACTGACCTAGTCCAACCCTCCACCCAAGCAGGAGACCCTTGGGGGGTCTGACAGATGGCAGTTCAGTCTCTTCTTGAAAGCTTCCAGTGATGAAGCTCCCACAACTTCTGAAGGCAAAGCTGTTGCCATTAGTTGATAGTTCTCACTGTCAGAAAGTTTCTCCTTATTTCCAAGTTGAATCTCTCCTTGTTGTTCAGTTTCAATCCATTGTTCCTTGTCTGGCCTTTGGATGCTTTGGAAAATAGCTTGACCCCTTCCTCCTCTCTGTGGCAGCCCCTCAAATATGGAAGACCGCTGTCTCCCCTGGTCCTTCTCTTCACTAGACTTGCCAGGCCCACTTCCTGCAACCGTTCTTCATATATTTTAGTGTACAGTCCCCTAATCATCCTGGTTGCTCTTCTCTGCACTTTTTCTAGAGTTTGTTTCCAGAGATTATAAAAAAAAATTTTTTTATAATGTAATGACCAAATCTGGATGCAGTATTCTAGGGGTGGTCTTACCAAGGCTTTATAGAGTGGTATTAGTACCTCATGTGATCTTGATTTTGATTGATATTAAGGAATGGATTCAGAAAACCATTGTAGTACCTGTTTTGAAAGTCTGTGTTTAAATAATGAAAAGGTCCAGCAGCATGTCCCTGTAGAATATAATAGAAAAGAGAATAGAAAATAAAATAGAATAGAGTACAGTAGAGTGCAATAGAGTAGAGTAGAGTAGAGTAGAGTAGAGTAGAGTAGAGTAGAGTAGAGTAGAGTAGAGTAGAGTAGAACAGCATAGAATAGACTAGAATTCACTCTTCAAATTACCTTTTCAGAATATCAGTTTCCGGTTGGAAGTGAGTACACAGACTGTGTGGTTTTGATCAGAATTTTCCTTTTCTGTATTGGTTTTCATTTCATTGAAGGAAGACTTTTTGCAAATTTCATAGATCTGGCTCTCAGTGGGGTTGAGCCCTAGGAAGGCACTTAAATTCATCACCACCTTTAGTGTTATGGGAACCTAGCCTGTTTGATTGCTTTTTAATTTAAAAAAATGAATATTAGATTTAAAATTTTGGTTTGTTGGTTTATAGTTCATTCTATTGCCTGAACCTTAAAAAAGACACTGCCAAACAATTTCAGGGTGCTGTGTGAATGCCAGTCCATTTTTGTCTAGTGTATGGTAACCATCATGGTTACCTTATACTTTAGTGTCTTGTGTGGAATTGGGGTTATTGAGTTAGCTTACATTACCAACCCTCAAAGCAGATGAGTTGAAATCTGTAACAAAAGCCGTCTCCAACTTTTGGAAGTGCCTGACTTTCTCAAAGTAACCCATGTGACAAATCAAGCAACAAAAATATTTATCACTTTCAACATTACAGTTGGAAAGTTACCAAAATATTTTGGTATATCCTTGATCTGTGTGTGTGTGTGTGTGTGTTTCTTTTCTTTCTGCTGAACACATCCCGAAAAAAAAATGCGTCAGAGACGGGAGAAGTATACGTGCCAGACATCACTGGAAAATAAAACAAAGCTAATCAGTACTTAACAAAAGTTTCATATTTTCCCACTGTCTGGAATGGATAAAGTGTTTTAATTCTGGCATCCTGCATCTTCTGTTTAATGGAAAATCTAATCTGCAAATCTAATTTCAATATTCCTCATTCTATCTATCTATCTATCTATCTATCTATCTATCTATCTATCTATCTATCTATAATGGAATGGAATAGATTACAATAGATTGCAATAGATTACAATAGAATATTGGAATGGAATAAATTGAATAGAATTTTTTATTGGCCAAGTGTGATTGGACACACAAGGAATTTGTCTTGGTGCAAATGCTCTCAGTGTACATAAAAGATACATTCGTCAAGAGTCAAGAATCATCAGGTACAACACTTAGTAAGAGTCATAGGGTACAATAAGCAATCAAATCATACTAGGAAACAGTCAATATAGATCGTAAGGATACAAGCTACAAAGTTACAGTCATACAGTATCTATCTATCTATCTATCTATCTATCTATCTATCTATCTATCTATCTATCTATCTATC